TTAATAAATACATTCTTTACATAGTACAACATCATTGTACAAAAGACTCTCAAAAAGACAGTGGACAGTACAGTCAAGCGCTCCCGCTTGCCGACGTCCATCCGACCACGATCTCACCTATGTCCTGAAAAACAGAGAAAACAATGGGTGAGCACAAAGATGCTCAGTAATAAATCTTCTACTCTATAATCCCCGTACAAATCTGTTCGTACTCTTGTTACTCTCTCTAGTTCCAACTATCTTGTTCTTTCTCTACTTCTAACTCTTACCATTCTTTTCTTTCTTTCTATTCTCTTCAGCCATGGAGAATATCATAACCATACATGGATGAGATATTAAAGAGTAACAATGCACTTTCTTTCTATTCTTTTCTTATTCTTATTCTTTACCGGTCTTGGTCGATGCATGGATTTGGAACCCTTGGTCATGTGAGTTTACTCTCTCTCGTGTATAGCCCTCATCCGCATGTATTCTCACGGCTATACAGATTCTGTTTCTCATTCTCATTCCGCTCTCTCATGGCGGAGACCGCTCTCTCTCATGGCGGTTTACATGCAGGTAACTCTACACTCACGGGTTCCCCATCGCACGACCTATTTTCTTTTCTTTTCTGTAGCACTTAATAATCATTTTACTCTCTAGTGCTAATTTCTTTCTTTCTCTTTATTCTAGGAGAATTAGTTCTTTTCTTTATCTCTATTCATAGAGTATTTCTTTCTCATTTCTCATATTTCTTTCTCATGTGACTGCTCCATTAAACATATGCATATGGATGGCTCATGCCTAAAATCTTTCTTATATGCATTCATGACATGCAAATATGCTATGTTGCATAAAGTAAGGTTCTTTACTTCTACTCATGCTTCTTTTAGAAATTTCATCAAACAATATGTGTGCATACATAAACTCTATTCTAATTGTTAAAGATATTTCTCTCTTAATCATCCAAAATAGGAGTTCAACTCCTTTAAAACATCATACATCCTGCAAGGAAAACACACTTCAAATATTCCTCTCAAATTCTTCTAATTCTATCCACACTTCTACCAAACTTTAACAACACAATCCACCCTTCTCATGGTGGAAATTCTTTCATATAACAACATTGAATTCATCAACTCATTTCAAACATAGAAATTCAAGCATTAAGCACATATATAAAATCTCTACACATCATTCAATCAAGTAAATCACAACTTAGGTGAATTTACTTACCTCAAGCTCAAGGGGAACCCACTTAAGCTTTCTACTCTTGAAGGCTTGATTCTTCCTCTTAAACCTTCAATACAAACTCAATAAGGATCCTACTCTTTCAACAATAAAACTTACATCTAGAGTAAGAATTCTCACCTTTTAGTGCTTAGGAACAACTTGTAAAAATTTCTAGTCAAAAGCTCTTCAAAGATCCTTGGAAACTTGAATGAAAATTTGAGAGAAATGAAGGATGAAAGAGGCGGTGGTGAAGAAGCAAATGAAAGGGTTTCTAAAGCTAGACCCTTAATATCTCATATTTTCTCCATTCTTTCCCAATATACCCTTGCTCCTTCTTTGAAATTCCACCTATGACCTTTCATTCTTTGCAAAAACAACCCCATTCAACCTATTCTCCATGCAATTTCCTTGCATGTCACTCCCCACTTTTCCTGCTAATTAGGGGTAGAATGGTCATTGAGTCCCCAAAGGAAGAATTCCCTAAAACTTAAGGAAAACAATTCAACTGAGTCTTCACCGCGACGAAGCTATTTCTTCACCCCAGCGAAAACTCACAGTAGCTACACGGGTTTTAGCACTTCATCACTGCGGCGAAGCTTTCTTCTTCGCCCTAGCGAAGACTGTAACATCCAGATTTCGTCAAGTCTTACAAATTTTCAGGGCATTCACTCAACCAAACCAAAACACCCTTTCAACTAAGGATAAACCAAGTAATATTAACAACATACAGACTCAAATGAGGCTAAATCAACAAACATTCAAGCCATTCATCAAATCTTAACTACATACCTCAAGTGGGGCATTACAGAGTGGGAAGAGGTTATTGTTTGGAGTGGGTGTTTTTTTGGAGTGGTGAAAGTCTGGTCGGTTTGGGTGCGATTTTGTGGTGTGGGTTGGTGTTGGTAGTGTTGTTGGCCGGAGTTGGGCTTGCTTGGCCTGAGTTTCATCCTGCTGAGCTGAAGCTTTGTGGTTTTGTTTGGGAGAGTTGGACGTCCATGCTTGTTGTTGTTGTTGCTAGGGTGGTTCTTTGGGGCTGGTTGTGCTGTCACCGGAGATTGTAGTTCTGCTGTCGAAGTTTTGTTTTTTCTTGTTGGCCGGAGCTTGTAGCTGTGCTGCCATAGTTTGGTTCATCTTGTTGGCTGGAGCTTCTCTAGTGTGGCTGGTCTTGATTTCCTTTTCAAGAATGTGAGTGTGGTTGTTGGTTTGAATTCTTTCCCTTTTTATCTTTGGCTAAGATTCTCCTTTTCTCCTATTGGCTTGGTGGATTTGCTTTATCCATTTCCTTTGGACTGGTCAATAGCAAGTTCCATAAGTGATTTTCCTTTCCACCTCACCTCTTCCTATTGGTTATTGTGATTGCCTTTTTCCCTTATCTTACAAATCCCCACATCATCATATCCTTACACTAGTCATGCCACCTCATTGCCTTGTCATCCCTCATCCCCGCACGTGTGCCACATCACTCTAGGTGCCACGCCACCTGAGGTGCCACGTCATCAAGTGAGGAAAACAAATTTTCAATTTTTCCAGCTACCTCTCCTCCTTGACACCCATGGGGGCTGTTAAATGTGGGAAAAGCTGTGGTTTGAGTGAGCAGTATCCAAACAGGGAAGAAAAGAAAATTGAAAGTGTTAGGAATGGTGCTTTGGTGCCTACTGGAGTCTTGAAAGGGGTCGCCATTTCTAATAGAGAGTATGTCCAAGTCCGGTTGGTGAAATCTATTCATAGAGGGAATTCTGATTTTGAAGAAGGTGAAACTATTTTGGTGGATAGAGGAGCTGTTTGTGCTGAATCCAAGGGTCCTTTGGAGGGTAACCGAGTTTCTTCTAGGATAGGTGAAAATGGGAAAGACACAATCTGCCATGGTGGGGATAAGGGTCATGAGGTTGTTAAGGCACCTATTGCTATTGAAAAATCCGGCTGGAATGATGTGCTATTGGCGAAATGTGAGTTCAATCCGAAGCTAGGGAGCTGTTTTGATGGAAAGGGGAGATTTTATGAAAATGTGGCAGTGAATGTTGATGAGATTTCTAAGGATTACCCCCTTCTCCCAAGCAAAGTGGTGGATGGAGGGAATAAAACTGAGAGGCCAAATGGTTGTGGTGATGGGAAACAGGTGAAAGGGGAGGGAAAATGAGCTTGGACAAGTGTTCCTGTCTCAAAGAGGTCTGATATTTCTCTTGAATATGTCAAACCAAATATGAGCAAGGGAGGTGGTAAGTTTAGAATTTCAATCCCTACCGAAATTGCGGCTTTAGGAATAGACAAATGGAGTAATTGTCTTGTTGGGTTTTTCCTTGGGAGGAAATTGCCGTTTTACCAAGTAAAGAGCTATGTTTATCGAAATTGGAGTCATTTTGGAGCTGTGGGGGTCACTTCAGATGAGCATGGGGCCTATTTGCTTAAGTTCCTAGATGAGGTTACTAAAATAGATGTGCTGGAGGGTGGTCCATGGTTCATAGGAGGACAACCTTTCTTTTTTGAAGTTATAGACTCTTAATTTGTCGTTGGGCATGAATAGGATCACTAGAGTTCCCATATGGGCGAAATTCTATGGTATCCCTCTTGAGTTATGGACTCCCAAGGGTTTAAGCCACATTGCAAGTGTTATAGGCACCCCTCTTTATATGGACAATATTACCGAATCGGGCGAAAGGCTTGAATTTGCTAAAGTGTGCATTGAGATGGATTCTTTGGCAGAGTTTAAGGAAGAATTTGAGCTAGAGATGCCGAGTGGTGAGATTGTGTTAGTTAAGGTGGATTATGCTTGGAAGCCATTTACCTGTGCTTGGTGCAAAACGTTTGGGCACATCCAAAGAAACTGTCATTTGGCTCCTAAGGAAACCAGACCGTTGTTACCCAAAAAGTCGACTTCTCCTCATGTGCAAGAATGGAGACAAGTTGCTAGTAAGAAGAATATGAGTGTCCCTCGAGAAGTAAGTCAGCAAAGGGTAGAGGGAAAGAAGGAAGGTGAGGCCCCGAAACCTTGTGAGAGTGTGAACCAATTTGTGGTGCTATCCGAAGAGGGTGAGAAAAAGAGAGATGTTGCTGACGGGGAGGAAAGGAAGAGCAGGAATGGTATTGAGGAAGGGTCACAAAGTGAAACAGAGTGTAGTAGAGCGGTTTTCGGGGAGGAAGCTGCGTATGCAAATGAGGATAGAGAGGAGAGAACTCCAATTAGTAAGGCTCTTTCCTTGAATACGTTTGAGGACAGTGACATGGGAACTATCTCTCCAATTTGTCAACCGTTTGGGAACCTGGTACACGTGGATGAAAAGGAAGGATTGGAGAAGGAAAAAGGAAGCCTTTCTAAGAATAAAAGGAAGAAACTAGCGAAGAAGGCGAGAACTCCACCAAAGCAACCTCATAGCCATGGTTAAAGTTGTTGCGTGGAATGTTAGGGGGCTCAATTCCCCCACTAAACAAAAAAAGGTAAGGAATCTTATTAGTAGCAATAATTTAAGTTTATGTGCTGTTTTGGAGACTAGGGTTAGGGAGAATAATATGGATGTTGTTAGGAAAATGGTGTTCCGTAATTGCGCTATGGTTGAGAACTATTTTTTTGTGCAAGGGGGAGAATTTGGGTGGGTTGGGATAGAGATATTTTGCATGTGAAGGTTATCCAAACTTCGGCTTAAGCAATTCTTTGTAAGGTTAGAATTTCGAAAGATAACTCCATGCTCTTTTGTTCTATTGTCTATGTGCTGAATAGTGTGGGGGAAAGGAAGTAGCTATGGAAGGAGCTTATCCACCATGCCAATGTTTGCCAACGTGAGCCATGGGTTATTATGGGCAACATTAATGCGGTTAGATTTGCAGGGGAAAAGAAGGGAGGTTGTAATAAATGGAATTCGCAATGTGAAGAGTTTAATGACATGTGTAAGGAAGCTGATATTGATGATCTTAATGCCATTGGTTCATTCTTCACTTGGAATAATAAAGGAGAGGTCAATTGGAGGATTTGGTGTAAACTTGATCAGGTGATGTGTAATGAGCATTGGAGCAGCAAGTTTCCCAACTCTTTTGCGTCCTTCCTTACTCTAGGCATATCAGACCATTGTCCAATGGTGGTTGATAGTGGGCTGAACTTTCAAGGTAAGAAATCCCCTTTCAAGTTTTTCAACTTTTGGGCAGAGCATGGGGACTTCTTCCCTATCGTGGAGAGAGTATGGAGATTGGAGCTGGAGGGTAACCCCATGTACAGGCTGGTCTCTAAGCTAAAAGCATTGAAGGTTGAGCTTAAGAGACTAAATAGAAAGGAGTTCATGAACATTTCGGAAAGAGTGAAATTTGCAAGAGATGATCTGGCCCAAGTCCAAGAAAGGCTTATTGTGGATCCGGTTGATGGTGCTCTATTGCAAGAGGAGAAACTTAAGGCGGAAAAGATGGTCAAGCTTTCAAAAGCTGAAGAATCATTAGCCAAGCAAAAGTCTAGGGTTAAATGGTTATGGGAAAGGGATGCTAACACTTCTTACTTCTTTAAATCTATTGCTGGATGGAGGAATAGAAATAAGATTGTGTCCTTGGAAATTAGGGAAGACTCGTTACTAGTGATCAAGATAGAATCAAAGAGGAGTTTGTGTCTTTCTACTCAAATCTTTTTGAAGATAAGTGTGCGGGTGTTTCCTATGAGGGCATGGAGGAGCTTATCACCCCTGTTATTTTGGAGGAGTGTAACGCCCCACTTGAGGTACATAGTTAAGATTTGATGATTGGCTTGAATGTTTATTGCTTTGTCCTCATTGGAACTTGCATGTTGTCTTTTTCGGTTGGTTGGCCCTTAGTTAGATTGATGAGTTGCTTTGGTTGAGTGTTTGCCCTAAAAATTATGAAGAATTGGTGAATTTTTGGGGTTACAGGATTCTCCGGGGTGAAGAAGAAGCTTCGCCGCGGCGAAGAGGTGCTGCTACCCACAGAGTAGCTACCGGAGTATTTCGCCGCGGCGACGGGCCAGCTGAAAAATTTGTTAAGTTTTAGATAATTTTTCCCTAAGGGCAATTTGACCATTCTACTCCTAATTAGTAGGAAAAGTAGGAAGTGAAATGTAAGGAAATTTCATGGAGAATATGTTAGTGTAGGGGTGTGATTGTAATTAATCAAAGGATATAGGTGACATTTCCAAGAAAGAGCAAGGGCATTATGGGAATGAATGAGGATATTTTGAGCTAAAAAGGGTTGAAGCTTAGTGAACCCTTCATTCATTCTTCTTCCACCGCCTCCTTCATTCTCCATTCCTCTCAAGTTTTCTTTTTTTTGATAAGTACCTCTCAAGTTTTCCTTCAATCTTTCAAGGATTCAAGAAGGCTTTTTGAGTAGTTTGAAGTGGGAAGTTAATCTAAAACATCCTAAGGTAAGGATTCTTGCTTTAGTTGTTAATTTTACCTTTATATGAAGTGAAGTCTTATAGCATGGTTGGTTAAAATTGTAGAGAATAGACAAGTTATCAAAGGTAAAGAGAAGTGCTAGTGGAATCACTCCATCACAAGTAAGTAAAATCCAACTCAAGCTAAAGTTTAAGAAATCATTTGAGTAGAGATTTCTTTATGTTTGTATGTATCATGCTTGTTGAGAAATTGAGTTGAGATGTTATGAGTGTTTATCCATGTTGTGATTGATTACACTTCATTTAAGAGAAGTGTTAAAATGTGATAAGAGGATGTAGTTTAAGATGGAGTTTGGAAGGTGTTGAGTGAACCTTTTTAGAAGTGTTATTCCTTGATAGGAATTGTAGCTTTGTGAGGGAGGTTTCTCCCATTTTGGATGATTAGAGAAAGAAATAGAGCTATTGTTATAGTGGAGTTTATATATGCACTTGAGTTGTTTGATGAAATGCCTAAGAGAAGCATGAGAATGAGTTATGAACCTTAATTCTTGCAACATTGCATGTTGGCATTTCATAAGTGCATTAGTGGAGATGAACCATCCATATGCAGTATTTGTGCATTGAGAAGTGATTTAAGAAAGAGTAGAAAACTTTGTGAATGCAACTACTCTACGGGTAGAGAGAATGAGAAATGCTAGAGTAGAGAAAATCATTAGAAACGGGTTGATGCTTTGTGATCGTCACCCAAAAGTCATGAGAAACGGGTAGGTGCTTTGTGGTCTCCACCCAATAGTTATGAAAACCGGGTAGATGCTTTGTGATTCCCCAGCCGTGCCTCCGGTCAGAAAAGGCCGTGACATACATCAGAGAACTTATAGAGAAGAGTATGAGAAATAGAAACAGAAAGAAAACAAAAATGAGAAAAGGTCACGAGTAGTGGGAGCTTTGTGATCTTCCGGCCGTGCCTCCGGTAAGACGGGCCGTGACATATGAGTGAGAAAAAGTCACGCAGAGCGGGCTTGAGTTCCCGACCGTGCCTCCGGTGAGATGAGGCAGTGACATTCAAATGAGAAAGAGCAGAGAGAGAAAAGTATAAGTCACGAAGAGTGGAACGAGTTCCAACCGTGCCTCCGGTAAGATGGGGCCGTGACATTTAAGAAACAGTTGATCGAAAAAGAGCTATGTGGAAGAGAAACAGAGAGAACGAGAGAGTATTGTAAGGAAAAGAATTAAGAGAAAGAGTTACGGGGATAGATTAGTAGAGGAGTTACTTACTGAGCCTTTTTGTGCTCACCCCGTCATTTCCCTTTGTGGTTGCAAGTTCTAGGTGAGGGTGCAGTCGGATGGGCGTCGGCAAGTGAAGAGAAATAGTTACACTGTCCATCCTGTTTTTGAGAGCTTTTGTATGGATAATACTTTATATTTGTGTAAAGTATATGTATATTTAATAAAAGAAAAATTTGGGCCATCTATTTATGTTATAATACATGTATTTTATTATATGTATTTTCTGAGTATATGAGTAGAAAGCAGCTGTTACAAGGAGGAGGCCAACTCCATGATTAGTGAGGTTTCCAAAGAAGAGATTCAAGAGACCATGTTTGGAATGAGTAAAGACAGAGCACCGGGGCCAGATGGTTGTGGAGCTTTTTTCTTTAAAAAAGCTTGGGATATTGTCGGTCATGATGTTGTTAAAGCGATCCAAAATTTCTTCAAGTCTGGGAAAATGCTTGAGAGGTGAATTGTGCCATTATTGTGTTAATCCCAAAGAATTAAAACCCCTCATCTTGTAGTGAGTTTCGACCGATCTCATGTTGTAACACCATCTACAAATACATCTCCAAGATTATGGACAATAGAGTTAAAAGAGTTTTGCCTCAGTTCGTCAACAAAGCCCAAGGTGCCTTCGTGGGGGGGAGGAAAATTGTGGATAATATCCTTTTGAGCCAAGAACTTCTCCACCACTATGACAGGAAGTCGACCAAAGGGGCTAGATGTGCAATGAAGGTAGACCTTATGAAAGCTTATGATTCTGTAAGATGGGATTTCGTTATTAAAGCTCTAGAGCTTCTCAGGTTTCCTTTGAAGTTTATTGGGTGGGTAGAGGAGTGTATCAAAACTCCTAAATACTCTGTAGCTGTTAATGGGGAATTATCCAAATTCTTTAGCGGTTCTGGAGGGCATAGGCAGGCAGACCCTATCTCTCCCGATCTCTTTGTGATTGCCATGGAGGTTCTATCAAGACTTCTAAATAGAGCAACGAGGGAACCTTCTTTTAAGCACCATTGGAGGTGCAAAGAGTTAAACCTAAACCATCTTTGTTTTGCAGATGATTTAATTATTTTTTGCCACGCGGATGAAAACTCTCTTGGCATTGTCAAGAGAGCATTGGATCGTTTCACGTTTTGGGTGGGGTTAAAAGCAAACCCCTCAAAAAGCAACATTTTCTTCTCCGGGGTGAGTGAGGACGGCAAACAAGCTCTTTTGCCGATTCTTGGGTATCAAGAAGGAAAGCTTCCAATGAAGTATTTAGGTGTCCCTCTCATAACCAAAAAGCTTTTGCCTTCGGATTGCAAACCTTTGGTGGACAAAATCTTGGCTCGTATTCAATCTTGGCGAAGCAAATTCCTCTCCTATATTGGTCGGGTAATTCTCATTAAATCCATTCTTTTTAGCATTCAAGTTTATTGGTCATCTATTTTCGTGCTCCCTTCAAAGATCCTCAATGAAATTAATGCTAAGTTAAGGGTTTTCCTATGGTCTGGGAGTGACATGAAAACCTTAAAGGCCAAAGTTTCATGGGAAGAGGTTTGTGTCCCTGTTGAAGAATGTGGGTTGGGGAGTATGAGAGCTAAGGATTGGAATAAGGCAGCCATGATGAGACATGTTTGGAATCTTAATCAAGTACATAGTGGCTTCGGATGGGTTGAATGGATCAAAACAACGTACCTGGTGAGGAAGAGCTTTTGGGAGATTCCTATACATTTAGATGCTTCTTGGGCTTGGAGGAGCATTTTGAAGCTTAGAATGGAAGCTAGAGAGCACATCAAAGCCATCATCGGAAATGGTCAAGCAACTTATGTTTGGCATGTATAATTGGCACCCAGAGGCCCTCTCAAGGATAGATATGGCACTTGCATTGTGTATGATTCGGGGCTACATGATCTTGCTAAGGTGTGTGAGATTTGGGATGGGACAAGGTGGAGATGGCCAACGGCTAATTCTTGGCCTTTGATGGACATGAAGGATTTCATCGACTTTGATCTAAAGAGGGCGAGGACGTGGTAGTTTAGAAGCCGAATGCATCTGGTAAGTTCTTATTAAATCGGCTTGGGAGGTTACTCGTGTGCACCAACACCAAGTGGAGTGGCATCACCTTGTATGGTTCCCAAAAGCTATTCCACGACACCCCATGATCACGTGGATGGCATGTAAGGATCAGCTTCAAACCAGGGACAAACTGATGAGGTATGGAATAGCTTTACGAATGCGTGTTGTTCGTGTAATCATGGCAAGAAACGATCATCATCTCTTTTTTGCTTGTCCTTTCACACCTAAGGATTTGGAACCCAATCCTTGAGCTCTCTTCTCTTGGGTATGTCACCCGGCCTTGGAACGATTATGTTGAGCACATAGCTAGTAGGTGGAGGAAGAAAAAGCTAAATACTCTTTAGGGAAGCTAAGTTTGGGAGCCACTGTTTCTCTATTTGGAGAGAGAGAATAGTCGGATTTTTGGTGGGGAATGCAAGGATGCCCATACTCTCTACAACTCCATCAAGAATGTGGTGAGAGAGAGGGCTATCCTTGGCAAGATCATAAGGAATACCTACTAGAAAGACTTGCCAAGAAATGGGGTCCCCCCATGTCTATTTTTAAAACACCCATGGGAGGTAATTATATGGTTTGTATTTATGATGGGTTTTTTGTCGTGTAAGGATTTGGTTATATATATCCCGGCGGGTGATTGTGTTAGAAGAGGCTACTTTGAAAATTGAAGACTTAGGGTGTTGATCTAGTGCTTTGTCTTTGTGTCATTAAGCGGCCCTACCTTGTTAATGTCATGGATATGGAATTGCTCTTGATAATGCTTACGCATATGGGTTTTGTGCTTTGATACTTTTGAACCTAACCGAGGGCATTCATGTGGTAGGTAGATTCATTGTATTTCTTTAATCTCTGCTTGGTTCCATTCCTTTGACAAGTGAAATGGGAAAAAGAGAAATTCGGGGTAACTTAGATAGTATCATTCATTTGCTCCTAACCCAGGGCATGTCCTGAGGTAGATTGGCCGACTCTTAGGCCTTTGTACATTCTTTCCCCTTTCTATAAAAGCTTACTTACCCAAAAAAAAAATATCCTACTGTTCTCAAGTTGGAGCAATCGACTTCTTTTGGATTAATGAGCAATTTTAATAAATCTGAAATTACTAACTAAATTTAACATGAAATGCGAGATGAAAAAAAAAAACGGATAAAATCAATTCAATAAAAAGGGTAGGGTTTTGACTTCATTCAGCCTTTATGGGTTAAACCTAAAAATTAAACGGCATTCACATTCATATGCATTGTTTGTAAATCGAACTCACTAAGGTGTTAACATACCTTCTCAGGCATGTTTTCCTATTCTTCCTTATAACTTTCTGCACCCACAATTTGAAAGTTAACAATTCCAAACTCATTAAGCATAAGAATCCTACAATGATTTCATTAATTCTTGAATCTATCTCTACATCCAATACTATAATGGTGATTATCCAAGAACCTAACATGATTCATTTCTCAATCTCATCATGTTCATCACAAAAAGCATTAAAACTCATAGCAAAACACACATCAAAACATAGTCATATGAACATAAACAATCAATCACTTAACCCATTAAAATCCGAATTACAATCAAAACCCTAACCCAAATGGTTAGTTCTAGCTAAATCAACACTACAAATAAGAAAAACGATAATATTCAAGTTCAATATAATGAAAAGTAGAAAAGACAGAAATCTCCCCAAATGATGAATCCCTTGGTTCAAAATCGAATATTCACCCTTCTAATCGCTAAATCTCTCGAAGCTTAATCAAAGAAATGTAAAAGTTGCTAAACCTACTTCCTGGACTCCCTAGACAAAAAAGCTAAGTTTTCTTTATCCTCGCCCAAACTCCTAAGAAAACACCGCACAAAGTAAAACTATGCGTTTCACAAAACTGGAATTTACGATCGTCGCCGGGCGAAGAGAAAATTTCGCCACGGTGAAGAACCAAACAGATCTGTGCGTGACTGGCTCACTTCGCCGCGGCGAAGCTTCTTGAAAAGTTCTGAAATTACAGAACTGCCACACTGCTTGCATCTTTGCTTGATTCTTCGATTCCCGGTGCTCTCCTTTGGTACTAGCCTCATCGTGCTTTATCCTGCTTCAGAACTCTCCTAACTTCTAAGTCAAAAATTTCCAATTTTGTCCTTATTTGCTCAAAATGTCCATTAAAACCTAAAACACGAAAGTAAAGAATTAAGCAATAATTCAGGTCAAAATGCACTAGAAAGTACCTGAAATCCGATTAAAAGTCTAATAAAACTGTATAATCTATGGATTATGTAACACCTGCTGTAAACTAGTAAATGCTTGCATATAATAATAGAAAATGGGCCCAAACTTTCTTTTCTATTATATGTATTAAGTCTTTTATACACAAAGAGTATTATTTTACAAAATTCCATTTAAAAGACAAAAACAGGGGAAACAGTGTAGCTATTGCACCTCACTTGCCGACGCCCCTCCGACTGCATCATCACCTAGATCTTGCATCCACAAAGGAAAATGACGGGGTGAGCACAAAATAATGCTCAGTAAGTAACCTCTATTTGTCTATCCCCGTAACTATTTTTCGTAATTCCTTCCTCACACTTTTTTCTATTGTTTTCTACTAACGTTATGGCCTCATCTTACCGGAGGTACGATCGGATGGCGTTCACACAACACCATCTCACTCTTCATGACTGTTGGGTGGAGTTCACACAGCACCAGCCCGCTCTTAGTGACTACTGAGTGGGGATCACAAAGCATCTACCCGGTTTTCATAACTATCGGTGGAGACCACAAACACCTACCTGTTTCTCATGACTTTTGGGTGACGATCACAAAGCATCAACCCGTTATAATAACTATCGGTGACGATCACAAAGCATCAACCCGTTTCTAATGACTATCGGGTGACGATCACAAAGCATCAACCCGTTTCTAATGACTTTCTGTACTCTAGCACTTCTCATTCTCTCTACCCGTAGAGTATTTGCATTCACAAGGTTCTCTACTCATAAACAAGTGCATAAACAAAGTTTTCTACTCTTCTTAAGTCACTTCGCAATGCACAAATAATGCATATAGATGGTTCATCTCCACTAATGCACTTATGAAATGCCAACTTGCAATGTTGCAAGAATTAAGGTTCACTACTCATACTCAACCCTCTATTAGGCATTTCATCAAACATTCAAGTGCTAAAGACTCACTAAACATAATTCTATGTCTTCTCTAACCATCCAAATGGGAGAAAACTCCCTTGCATAGCCATAAATCCTGCCATAGAATAACGCTGCCAAAAAGGATTTCTCAATATCCTTCAATTCCATCTCAAACTACATTCTGAACCCACATCTCACTTCTCATAATTGAAGTGTATGAACAACCATAAAGCAATAATTATCTCCATTTAAATCTTATCCATGCTCTCACTTGTATATACACAC